GTTCCAATCTCCTATCCCAAACGGTAGTATAAAATTTTTTTATTAGATGTGACAAGAAAGTTTTAGTTATAGTTCTCTAAGCCTGTTTGTCAACTATTATTGAGAAGAAAATGGTGTAATGAATAGTATTTTTTGGAAAATGTGTGGTTGAAATTGAAAGAAACTTTATCGATTTATGTGTAAAATATTTTATTATTTGAATATGTGGTAGATATTGATTACTGTAGAAAATAATTTTTTTAAAAATGATAGACAAACAAGAGCTTATGATCATTTCAAAAAATTATAGCTAAGATTTTTTTTTTTTTTTTTTTTAATCCTGCTACAAGAAGATTAATTCTGTACAAAATGAAGTTGAATGCTTGAAATCCTCCCGTTACAACCCTTGAAGCTTTCATTTTCTCACAATAAATCCAAGCAAACCGTCCATTTACCTTTTTCCTCAAAAACGCACACGACACGTAGTCTCGAGCCAGTCAATCAACGCATATAGGGATCCGGCGCAAAGTCCCAGAAACAAATATGACTAAAATATCCTCTGCCTACTATGTTTTGTAAAATGGGTATTTTTGTCATTTCAACCCAAAAATTTTCTTATTTTAGGGTAGAGGACAGCAAGGATCGGCTTCCTTAATCTTTACAAACTGCCACTCATTTACCATAGAGAATACACACACACACACATATACTATAGAGAAAGAGAGGGAGGAGTGAGAGGCTTCCTTATCAATCTTAACATCGTTCAATTTCCTTTTGATTTATTAATTCAAATATTGTAGTTTTTTTTTCTTTCTTCTATTTTTTTTTTTAACTTTTTGCTAATTTCAAGAATTATTTTTCTGGGTCATAAATGTTTTTGGGGAGCTCTGGAAATTCGAAGGGCTATTTGTCTACCTCCTCTCTTATCTCTTGAGGCCCAGAATTTTAAATTGGGAGATCTTCATTTTTGGGTTTATTTGATTTTAATTTGCATTTTTCGGCTTGATCTTGGAACCAAGAGAGCGGCATATACATATATTCTTACATATACATGTGGGGTACTTCAAGATTTTGGGAGAAATTATATAATATGTTGGCAGAAGGGGGATCTCGTTATTGTTCCAAGAAGACTGATGATATATGTGGTGATGAGGTAACTTTTTTTTCGATTTGCTCTAAAAATTTTATTTTACTGCTGATTTTATTTCCTGTTTGATAACAATGTTGGGCAATTTTCGAAAATATTTCTGAGTTTTGTGATTTTATTTGTTGGCGAGGAAAAATATATACATTTTGAAATGTTTCTGGGAAAAATTGAAGGTTTTCTTTTTAAACAAGTACTGAAGTTAAATTTCAGGAATTTTAATGTATAGGATTGGAAGAGATCAATATTTTACAGCTTATTGGTAGGATTTAGAGGAAATTAGTATGGCATAAGATTCTAGATCTTGTGTAATTTTATTTTTTTTAGTCCTTGAGGTGATCTTTAAGAGTAGTGATCTAAATGGAGCTGTGTTTCTCATTGTTTTTTCTTTGATCAGGGTGCATTGAACCCTATAATCTGGAAACGAATAGTTCTTGTTTTCAGTTAACACTAGGCTTTAAGGAATTCCTAAGACTCGGTACTTTTAGGACATGTTTGGTAGACAATTCTGGACGGGATAGTACAATGCATTAGCTTCTCATTTGATAAGTGCATGCTTCCCTCAGTTCATAAATGACGTGCTTTTCGTAATTTGCAGAACTCAACTCGGACCTTGAGCATGTTGAGATTGAAGTGTATTCTGCGTGGTCTGGATATAAAATGCTGTCTCTTCCTTCTCATGTTGGCCCCGGTATGCTTTTTGGTTATTTATATGCATGGCCAGAAGATCACATACTTCTTGAGGCCTTTATGGGAATCACCGCCTAAGTCCTTCAATGAAATTCCTCATTATTATCATGAGAATGTATCAATGGAGAATCTTTGTAAACTCCATGGTTGGGGAATACGTGAGTATCCAAGGCGTGTTTTTGATGCAGTGTTGTTCAGTAACGAGCTAGACCTCCTCAAGATACGATGGAAGGAATTGTACCCTTATGTTACAGAATTTGTACTGCTTGAGTCTAATTCCACATTCACTGGACTGTCGAAGCCTTTGGTCTTCGCTGCTAATCGACAACAATTCAAATTTGTGGAGACAAGATTAAATTATGGGCAAGTTCCGGGGAGATTTAGGAAAGGAGAAAACCCATTTATTGAGGAAGCATATCAACGACTTGCGCTGGACTATCTGCTTAAACAAGCTGGTATTCAGGATGATGATTTGTTGATTATGTCTGATGTTGATGAGATACCAAGTGGACACACGATTAACCTTTTGAGGTGGTGTGATGACATACCCTCAATCCTACATCTTCGACTGAAGAACTATTTGTATTCATTTGAGTTTCTCGTCGATAATAATAGCTGGAGAGCTTCAGTTCACAGGTATCAATCTGGCAAGACAAGGTATGCACATTATAGGCAGTCGGATGACATTTTGGCCGATGCAGGGTGGCATTGCAGCTTTTGCTTCCGCCGAATTAGTGAGTTCATATTCAAGATGAAAGCTTACAGCCACGTGGACCGGGTGAGATTCTCTCATTTTCTGAATCCTAAAAGAGTCCAGCGAGTAATCTGCAGAGGGGCTGATTTATTTGACATGCTTCCAGAAGAGTACAGTTTTAAGGAAATCATTGGGAAAATGGGACCTATTCCTCACTCTTATTCAGCGGTTCATCTCCCTGCGTGTCTTTTGGAAAATGCTGATAAATATAAATTTCTCTTGCCGGGAAATTGCTTAAGAGAACGTGACTGAATGAAATGGACCGTGTTGTGTCATTTTTTTTGTAAGGGTTGAAGTTTAGCTTTGGCTCCCGGCACAGGGTTTCATTGTCCAATTGATCACCGTGCTTGTATCTTTTTTACAACTGTTTGGCAAAATTGGACGCCTACTTGGATTTCTAGAGTGAGTGATGTATATAATTTTTTAGAGTGTGCGGGATTTGGATAGTATCCATTTACGAGGTGGGATTTTGCTGCTCCATTGTGGCTCCTGGGCTTTCAGATCTCCCCACATCAGGAAATTTCCGATGTGGGACTAATGTATTCAAATATTATTGCAAATTGTGTTGTTTACTCCATAATTTCAACTCTCTGAGCTTCTTGTTGATCAAAATGCTTAATCCTAGAAATGCATCTGATTCGATTTTGTCTGACAGTTTATGTTCTTGCTTGCTCTGCTTTTCACTAGCCCTTGGTCAAGCCAGTGAATTTAATCTGGTGTTCTCTTAGTTCTGCCTGCCTCCCCTTGCTTTTCTTATCTTGAGTTGCAACTTGCATAATGTATAAAGTCAATTGAATAGAGAATCTGATACCCTTAATTATTTATGTGACATTGTTAATTTTTCAAGGTTGTCATGTCTGGATATTCTTGAGAACATTAGTCATTGACTTGCATTGATAGGTGCAGCTCATTACATCATATGACAACGGTTTTTCTGACTGGTGCAGGTAACAACGTATATAGTAATGAAATTTATTCTCAATTTTGTAAGCATGGATCAACAGCGCAAGGAAATCTGAACAATTATGTAGCTAGCATTTTCATTGTAAATGTAGGTTCAATGGTATCATTATCCAATTCCCTATTTTTCTTTTTCTTTTCCTTTTTTTTTTGGGGTTGGGGGGGGGGGGG